TTAAAACATTTAAGGGCCAAGCGCAGTGGCTCACGCCTGTAATCCCAGCACTTTGGGAGGCCGAGGTGGGCAGATCATGAGGTCAGGAGATCGAGACCATCCTGGCTAACACGGTGAAACCCCATCTTTACTAAAAATACAAAAAATTAGCCAGGTGTGGTGGCGGGCGCCTGTAGTCCCAGCTACTCGGGAGGCTGAGGCAGGAGAATGGCATGAACCCGGGAGGCGGAGCTTGCAGTGAGCCGAGATCACGCCACTGCGCTCCAGTCTGGGCGACAGAGTGAGACTCCAGCTCAAAAACCAAAAAAAAAAAAAAATTTAAGATCTCCCCTCCCTCAAAACTTTCTTAATAAGTGTAACTAACTTACATGGGCCATTATGCCATGGAATGCTTATAGTCTGCCAAAATGCTTGCAGAGAGCACCTTCTAGGTGGAAACGTGTGGTTGCTTCAATCAGCAAAGCCTACTCTGTTGATTTGCCTGTTGTATCACCCTAAGTTCAGGGAGATGTCTACTTTAAACCTCAGCTCCATTTCTCCTTTCTTCATTGCATCATTCACAATTGTTTGTGAGTGCCTGGGGATTGTGCATTTGTGTGCATGACAATAGAGTAACTTGCTATGGTTCATTCAGCAGAGCTTTTCTGAATGTTTTATTTTCACATCATTTTCATTCTTGCTAAATGAATCTGTGCTTGATGCACTAGTTCTGGAAGCTGGACATCATCTGTTATACAAGCACCCATGAGATTCCCAAGTCAAGCTTTTTGTCAAATTAAATCTGACAAATTGATTCTTAATTAACCCACAAGAAATGCTGATGATAGTTTTCTTGAGTAAACATAGAGTCCTTTGAGCTGGTAATATTTAAATTTTTCATAAATTTCCTTCTTTTTGTCTTACAATAATCAGTGCCTTCCAAATAAAAAGTTTTGGATAAAAGATCTAGATCAAAATAAATTTCCTCAGAAGCAAAATATAAATGACTGTTTCAGGCAAAATAAAGGCCAATAGCTTTTCCAGACTAATTTTGAAGGAATATCCATCTTTTGATACGTCAGGATTAATGTATACATGGAAAAACATTCATATTTTTTAAACTGATCGTAAAGCTGACAGGTGCAAAAATGGTCCCTCTTCCAGCCCCATCTTACCAATTCTCAATTACAGATGTCTTAATTTTTGTGTGTGTCACGGGCACTTCGGCCATCTTGTGGAAACAATGAACCATTCCTCAAATATATGTGACAAATTTGCAATATGGCGATGCATATGCTTCTTCATTATAAACAACCCCTAGCAGTGGGGCTAATCGCTACATAATCTTGAAATGATGAGCAATTAGGGTTTCATCTACAACTGTAAAATGGGATTTTAAAATCTGTAATTTTTGTGAGCAACAAAGTCACAAGTACTGCTAATACCATCATGATCTATTGCCGTGGTTAGTGAAAGATAAACACGTAATTCTTCCCCCCTATGTTCACAACCCCCTAAATTTTACACACAGATCCCCTAGAGAACCATGGACTCCACATTAGGATAGTCTGATCCCAGTGACTCTTGCCTCTGCTTCTACTTGTATTCAACCACTAGAGGGGTGCACTGGGGTCATGGTCAGTCATCAGTATGCACGGGATCCTCAGAAGCAATGGTGTCAGCAGAACTACACACAAACCCCACTATGTCACTGCCAATAAGCCCAACATCTGAACACTGTCACCCTAGAGGGGTCACTCTGTGTCACTTCAGTGTTTTCTCCAGCCAGAAAGTCTGCCTCTGGCAATGGTACCAAGAGCTAATTCAGAGCAGAATGTGTTCATTGTTCTCCATGATGTCATTTGCCAAATGAAAGAAGTGGTTCTAGAATATCCTCCATGCTTACTTACCAAAACTTTATATGCTTTGTCTGCGCTATCAGGATAACATATTCCATACATTTCCTTCTTCTGGTGGGTGGGGGGGGAAATACTTCCATATCTCCAGCTAGAATTTGTACCTGAGATTTAAATCCACATTTCCACTTGGATGTCTAAAACTGGATTTATCCTCTTCTCCCTAAAACCAGTTTCTCCTTCTGACTTTGACTTTTCTTCTCCTAATGTATGGTCATCTCAGACTTTCCAGCCACCACAACCACTTCCCAGACTCTACTCCTCAATTTACAGCATCCCTTCAGTCTCCCTCTTTATTCCATTCTCATTTCTACTATGTTCATTTACAGCCTAACCTGGATTTACTGTTACCCTTGTTCCTGCCTCTCATGACTCAGATCCATTCTATACACACTGCTGCCAACTTAATTTTCCCAGAAGGCAACTCTGATGACCCTTTTATCCTGTCCAGAAATCTTCAATGGCTCCCTATTTTCTACTGAACTAAATGCAGACTCTGCTCTATAAGCCTCTCCTCCACTTGGCTCCAGACTCCCAGTTCAGCCACCTGTTTCACCCTGTTCTGCAAACTTTGATAATTCTTGTTCCATGAAACAGAGAGCAAATAATTTGCCTCATTCGTTTTCTGACTTGCTGCCTTTCACATTTTGTACCCTCCTTCTAGGATTCAAATATTGATGAAGAAGGAACTAGCAATAAGGTGTGTTTTGAACACAGACATAGAGATTATAAAACTGTCACTGAGATGCTCTCAAAGGAGGAAAATATCTTAATGATTAAATTATCTCCTGCTCGTTTTCTAAGTGTTTTCTGGTAAACCTGGACTTGGTGGGGAAGGGGAGGGAATATCCAGACAATGGCTACTCGCCAGAGGAGAATATCTATCACTGTCATGTGATGCCACTTCATCCTCCCAACTACCTTAGCAATCCTTGTATTTCACTTTCTCATTTGTAGCTTGGGGGCCAGGTAGGTGCACTGGATTTTGACCACTAGTTTACAAATTTTAGTCCATTAGGACCAACTTAAAATATAATCCACAGTATCCTGAATCATTAGATGCAGGAATCAAAAGTAGGATGATGCCAGACACACTTTGGGATGCTGAGTTGGGAGGATCCCTTGAGACCAGGAGTTCAAGACCAGCCTGAGTAACATGGTGAGACCCTGTCCCTACAAAAAATTTTTTTAAAAATTAGCCAGGCCTGCTGGCCTGTGCCTATAGTCCCAGCTACTCACAAGCCTGAGGTGGGAGGATGGCTTGAACTCTAGGAGTTCAAGGTTAAAGTTACAATGAGCTATGAATGCACCACTGCACTCTAGCCTGGTCAACAGAGAAAGACCCTATTTCTAAAAAAATTAAAATGAGAAATAAAAAAGCATGATGAATCATCAACATCACGTATTAGGTTTTTTCCACTAGCAGACTCCTTCCTCTTGGAGACTTCTTCCGTTTAGAATGGCAACCCCTTCCCCCTTAGTTTGAGGAGATAGAGAAGTGTCTGCCTGAGCTGAGAATGTTACCACCATTATCTCTGATGCTTATTCAGCAGCACTGTGTAGAGGCTTAGACTACACAGTGCTTAGATTCTCTTTCTGCTACACAACCTTGGATGAGCTACAAATGTTAATTCTCAGTTTTCGTATCCGGAAAATGGGGATTATAATATTTTTTATCCCATAGATTTCTGGGGATAATGTTGAGATAATGGATAATATAAGGAGAATGAGGAGAATGCATTTAAAAGGGGCTTAGCACATTGTCCAGCTTATAGGAACCACTCTATGAATGTTAGTCATTATTATCAGCATAGAAAACATGTTGAGATAAATATAAGGAAACAAGGAATAGATGAGGTGGGGTCAACAAACATTTCTGTGGGCCTTACTGTCCCTGTTGTGACTACTCAGTTCTGCAGTCATGGCATGAAAGCAGTCATAGACAATACAGAAATGAATGAGTGTGACTGTGTGCTGATAAAACTTTATTTACACAAACAGGCGTTAGGAGCCAGATTTGTCCGGTAGGCATAATTAACCAAACTCTGGCTATACTGCCCAAACCCTGACCTTTGGGAACTTCCAATCAAGTATGGTAGTAAGTCTTGTAAGACTTTTCAGGAGAAGCAAGGAGGAGTCAGGGACTAACTTCACCATCATCCAGAGGAGCATAGAAACTTGGTATGTTAAGACAGCTTACTGTATGAATTTCCCAGAGATGAACAAAAGTAAAAAATATAGCCTAGAGCAAGTAGCTCAGATTTTTTGTTTTTTAATCCTGCCTTTCAAATAAGTAACTTCAACTTTGAAACAGAGCCTTCCCTTTTAGTAGACATTTTCCTTGGAAACTCAGCTCCCGCCTTGATCCTAGAAGTTACACATTTATAGGAATAAAAATGTCTGTAGATTAATTGGCAGACAATGCCTGACCCTGACTTCTGTTCCTTATCCTTATATATGAATAGACAGAGCTAAGAAGTCATTTATCCAGCAGTTTGACTAAAAGGAAATGGAAAGTGCATGGATAGCAGAGGAAATCATTCACTTCCTTTTCTATTCTTTTTATTAATATATGATCTTATTATTAATAACATAAAGGAATAGCAAATGAGAATCCATGAGCAATATCAGACCCTGAAAATGAGCTGGTGGCTCAGTATCAACCAATGAGGACACTTGATAGTTTAGCAAAGTTGCCAAACAGGAGACAGACTCTGCTCCTTTAAAAGAAGAGTGACTGTGGCGTGTGTTCCCCAGATAGGAGAGCAAAAACATACTTTCTGGGCCTCTCTCAGGATCATTGTTTGGGAAGGAAGTTGTATGGGAAATTCACAAACTCTTAGATGTTAACATTTAAATGCAGCATGCCACACCCAAACTCACAAACAACCTTTTTTTCATCCATAAAGTTACAGAGGAGCCCCATTTGCACTGTATATCATACTGTATTTTAATATCAAAAATGGCTAGCCCCTTCCAGAGTTTTTACGACTTAATGTGTGCTAATTTAATGGGCCTGGTGCTTTATTCATTTGAAGCAAGAAATTAAGTCTGTGATAATAAAGCAAGGTTCTTATCAGATTTCTCTTTTTTGTTGTTTTACAGTTTTCTCCTTGTCTTTGGTTGCTTGATTTTGTCAGTGTTTTCTACCATCCCTGAGCACACAAAACTGGCCTCAAGTTGCCTCTTGATCCTGGTAAGTGAAACATGAACAGGAACGTATCTGAATGTTATATAAGAACTGCCTATAACGTTTGTACTATGCATCTTATCCTACAAAAAATTCTATCTAAAAAAGAGTTACTGTGAAATATAAAAGTTTCAAAGATTACTGAAACATTTGCCCACCAATTTAACATGTAGTCAATCCTTAGAAATACATAGAAATGTTCAGGATTGCTATTACACAGCAATATCTGGTGTTATAGATATATCATAAATAGAAGGCAGTGTTAGAAAGCAGTTTTGAGTATGTTTATCTATGCTAATAAACAAATTATATAAGAAGAGTCACTATCTATGAGGCCTCTCATTACATTGTGAAAGACTATAGAGTAGAGAGCATTTTCCAATAACTGTAATTCGGCAGTAGCTAAATATAATTGGCCAAGAACTATGAACATATGGCACCTCATAAGAAAATAGAAGGCTCCTTCATGCTCTTTTCAACCAACAGACTGCATTATGAGTTTTGCTGCTAATGCAGTTACCTGGTGATAAATTCTGCAGTTTGCTCTGTTGCCATTATGCTGTCAATCCTCAAGCACACAGAATTGCTCGATTCACTTTAAAATGGAAAAAGACCCCAAGATAATTTTATCCGAATTATTCTGAGCCTTTTAAGCTCTCATACTTTCTATTACAACTAAACTATAGCACTGTACACTCAAATCACATCTGATTGAAAGTTTGGTTCATTTTCAACTATTTTAACCCACTCACTTTGTCCAAAATTATCAGATTTGACAGTCTTAGAGCTATTTGAATGAACTACAAACTGGAACAGCTCACTGTTTCTGTAGAGCCTAGGGGTATACAGAAGCAGGGGGAGGAAAACGGTAAGATGGTTTATGTGCCCTAATAAGCAGAGATTGGTTATGTTACAGCAATAAATATTGAATATGAAAAAATTGTTACTACCATGAAGGCAGAAACTGAAAGATTTCAACTCATATAACCTGAGAGAAGGGCAGATGCTTTTCCTACCTTTGCTTTCAGATGGCTAGTTTGTACTTAAGGTTGCTAAGACATCATCAAGTCTTTCAGTGCAATATCAGGGAGAACTCATTTTGAATCTGTAATAAATCTCTCTCAATTCATTTGCATACAAATTGTGCTCCAGCAGCATATTGCTCACGTTAAGGTTACCGTTTCAAAGCCCAACGTAGAGAACAGATAGACCAAAGAGCACATCAGAGATCTATTCCATTTGCAAGCTTTCCCTTTGGGTAGAAAGTAGGCTTTTAACCTTGTCCACCCTTTTGATAACAACAAATGATCTGAGCCCAGGGGCTAAGGTATAGCTGGCTTTTAGGTTCACATATAGAACCTCAACTAGGAATTTTAGACTGAAAATATAAATGTGATTTTTAAACTTGGAAACAAAAAACGATCTACTGCATGACCATTATTAGGAATAAATCAATCATTAGGAATCACATGAAAAGATTTCTTTCAGAGCCAGGTCAAAAATCTAAAATGTTAGATTTATATCCTCCAAACCTCTGAAATGTAAATTCTGTCATTGCTAATGAATTTCTAAATAGTCCAAAGAAACCCATGTAATTTCAAAGTCTAAAACTGATTAGTATCTTGACTTTTAAAACCTGTTGAATAGTGAATAGATCAGAGTTTAGTAAGTAGAGTGCATTTAGTAGAAAATAAAAATGTAGATGTCAGTCTTGAATGCTTTCAGATTTAGCAAGGTAGAAATGAGTTCCTCTATGCAGATGAGGCCTTTGTTTTGAGCAAGTGGTTAGTGTTACAGATAGATATTCGCAGAAACCTATTGCAACAAGGCTTTCTGTAGGGAGAGGGTTTGTTAATCCTACTATCTTTCTGCACTGGCAGAATTTGATGTAATTCAATGGATGGAACTCTGGAATCTATGGAATGTTTGCAACTTCCAGAGGAAGGCTTAGATGGTAAAATTGCAGTTAATTTCGGTCCATTTCAGCTCTTAGCACAGTGATAGCTACCCATCCCCTACACCCAGGCCCACTGCAGGCAGCCGTGCACATGTTCCAGGAGGGACCTGAACACAGCTTATACGAGCCAGGATGGGCAAAAAGAACCCTGTCCTCCAAATATCAGAAATCTGACCCTGGATCACTAATTGCTGCTTCTGATCACGAAGGAGCAGACAAAAAATGTGGCAGCCATTGTTGCTGCACCTTCACCCATTGCTGTCAGCCCCTCCCCAACCAGCGGAAGTGACTTCCAGGGGATTAAAAGGGTCCTCCCCACATGCTTCATTTTTCTTTTTTCCTTTTTTGGAATACCGTGTGTAAAGATGTAATTATTTGACATTAATAACTGAAAGGAGTAGGGCTAGAGATGTAAAGGAACAGAGTTTTTCTTTTTTTCTTTTTTTTTTTTGAGACAGAGTCTCGCTCTGCTGCCCAGGCTGGAGTGCAGTGGCTGGATCTCAGCTCACTGCAAGCTCTGCCTCCCGGGTTCACGCCATTCTCCTGCCTCAGCCTCCCGAGTAGCTGGGACTACAGGCGCCCGCCACGTCGCCCGGCTAGTTTTTTGTATTTTTTTAGTAGAGACGGGGTTTCACCATGTTCACCAGGATGGTCTCGATCTCCTGACCTCGTGATCCGCCCGTCTTGGCCTCCCAAAGTGCTGGGATTACAGGCTTGAGCCACCGCGCCCGGCCGCAGGAACAGAGTTTTTCTATGCCATTAAAGTTAAACTGGTATAAATTCAAATTAGAGTGTTATAACTTTAGGATGTTAATTTAATTCCCATGGCAACCACAAAGAAAATAGCTGTAGAATACACACAAGGAGAAATGAGAAAGCAATTCAAACATTTCACTATGAAAAAAAAAATGAACTAAATACAAAAGAGGGTAGCAATGCAGGAAATAAGAAACAAAAAAAAAGCTATAAAGTATATACAAAACAAAGAGCCAAATGATGAAAGTCTCTCCTTATCAGTAACTAATTTAAATGTAAGTGGATAAACGTTTCTAATAAAAACCAGTGATTGGCAGAATGGATAAAAATACATGATTCAACTATGTATATGCTTAGTACAAGAGACTTACTTTAGATTCAAAGACACAAATGCATTGACAGTAAAAGGGTGGAAAAGATATTTTATGCAAATAGTAAACAAAAGAGAGCAGAAGTGGCTATACTAATATCATACAAAATAGACTTTAAATCAAAAAAGTTATGAGATAAAGAAGGGCATTATATATTAATAAAAGATTTAATACACCAAGAAGATGTAATAATTATAAACATTTATGTACCTAATAACAGGCCATAAAATACATGAAGCAAAAACTGACAAAATTAAAGGGAGAAATAGATAGTTCTACAGTAATAGTAGAAGGCTTCAATACCCCACTCTCAATAATGGATAGAACAGCCAAACAGAAGATAAGTATGAAAACAGAAGACTTAACACAATAAACCAACTAGGTCTAACAGACTACACAGAACACTCTACCCAATAACAATACCATAAACATTCTTCTCAAGCACACAGGGACATTTTCCAGCACAGGCCATTATGTTAGCCCCATGTTAAGTCTCAATGACTTTAAAAGATGGATACCACACAAAGTATTTTTTCCAACCACAATGGGATGAAGTTAATTATCAATAACGGAAATAAAACTGGAATATTCAAAAATTAAACAGCATGCCTTTTATTTTTTTTCTTGAGGCAGAGTCTCACTTTGTCACTCAGGCTGGAGTACAGTGGTGGGATCTTGGCTCATTGCAACCTCTACCTCCTAGGTTCAACAGATTCTTCTGCCTCTCAGCCTCCTGAGTAGCTGGGACTATTGGCACACACCACCACTCACTGCTAATTTTTTTCATTTTTAGTAGAGGCAGGGTTTCACCATATTAGCCAGGCTGGTCTTGAACTCCTGACCTCAAGTGATCCACCCGTCTCAGCCTCCCAAAGTACTGGGATTACAGGCGTGAGCCACCAGACCCAGCCTAAACAGCATACTTTTAAACAACCAGTGGGTCAAAAAATAAGTCTTAGAAATTAATGAAAACAAAACACAACCTGCCAAAACTTATGGGACACAGTGAAAGTTGTGCTAAGATTAAAATGTATAGCTATAAATGCTTACATTAAAAAAAAAAACAAATATCTCAAATCAGCAACTTCATTTTACAACTTAAGGAGCTAAAAAATGAATACACTAGACACAAGCTAGCCAGAACAAAGGAAACAATAAACATGGATAAATGAAAAAAAGACTAGAAAAACCATGAAGAAAATCAATGAAACCAAAAGTTGGCTGTTAGTAAAGGCTGACAAAACAGATAAGCCTTTAGATAGATAAACTAAGAAAAAAGGATACTCAAATTAATAGAATCAGAAATGAAAATGGGAACATTGCTACCGATTCTACAGAAATGAAAAGGACCATAAGAGAGTATATGAACAATTGTATGACAACACATTGGAAATCTAGATGAAATGGACAAATTTGTGGAAACACAAAACCTACCAAGACTAAATCACAAAGAAATAGAAACCGAATAGAGCTATAACTAGTAAGGAGATTGAATCAGTAATCAAAAATCTTTCAACAACAACAAAGAAGCCCAGGATCTGATGGCTTCGCTAGTGAATTCTAACAAACATTGAAAGAACTAATAGCAATCCTTCTGAAACTGTTCCAAAAAAATAAAGAAGAAGCAACACTTCCTAACTAATTCTATGAGGCATTATTTTGATGCCAAAGACACAAGAAAAATAAAACTATAGACTATTATTTCTTATGAACATTAGTGTAAAAATCATCAACAAAATGCTAGTGTATTTAGCAGCATATTAAGAGGATTACACACCTTGGCCAAAGAAGATTTAGTCCTTCAATGAAATAATGATCAACACACAAAAATTGATCAATGATATAGGCCACATTAACAGAATGAAGGGAAAAAGCCCCATAATTATCTCAATTATGCCAGAAAAAAAATTTGAAAAAAATTC